TGCTTAGAGAAACTAGGATGCACAAGCAGCCCCCTCTTTTCCAGTATTGATGCCTTTATCAACAGGCATTTCACAGTTTTAGAAAGAAAGAACAGCACCTTTGGAAGATCCTAGAGATCAATGAGAATTGTTGCATTTATATTGGATATCTCTTCACTATTCAGGCAAATAAGTTCAAGGTGCTAAAGTGTTTCAGCTAGAAATGAAAAGTGCTAAATTCATCTTCAAACTTCAGAATTTCTTCGGTCCTTCTCTGCATCTGAATTAAGTTTTCTCCATTTTTTATTTTGGTATGACTACTTTATTGCCGTTATAGTTCAGATTTCAACTCTGGAAACTTAACTGTCATGCCAACTTTTAACATCTCCAGGATCAGAAGTAATCTGTACCCTAAACTTTTAATTTTCTAGAGATTTGTGTGATTTGATTAAACAGCTGTTCAACGAGGTACAGTTCCTGGGGATTTGGATAACATTCAACTTTTCCAATTAATAAGGATTTTGCAACCTTTTAAGTAGTTTTCTATGTTTTCTTTAAACAGCCAAGGAGATGAATCTAAGCAGCAGTAATCTCTTCAACATTTTTTCTAACTGTATTCTGAAAAAAAACTAGACTAGTTTTTGTAGAACTGGTGTGGATCAGATTTTAATCATCAGCTCTCAGGAAACTTCTCCATTCTACTTAGTATTAATGTGGTAAATATGTGCAACATGACAAGTTTAAGCCTTGCTGTCAATCTTTAATGAATTAGAATTCTGTTTCATGTTGCCAAATATTCTGGTCTCCTGTTCACTCATGTTTATCAAGAAATTGTTTTGGTGTATAATTGGTACTGACAATCTCAGAAGCAGCCTTTTTAATTATTTATTGCTTTGGTATCCCTCCTTGTGTTAAACCTTGACCTGTCTGAAAGGGTTGGAGACTTTTTAGAGGGGAAATAAATACTAAATTTTCAGAAAAACAAGCAAAAGAAACAAAAGGATTAATTCTTGTTGTCACTGGAAAATCAGAAAATCATATCACTTTACTAACTTACTGCTTTGGTCTTGTTAGTTCAAACTTTGTTTGCTTTCATCTAACTGTTGCTTTCATGTCAGTATCTTTTACTTCACCTCAGTGAAGAGTTGAACTTTTTGCTTTGAGAGACCCTATTTGTATGGCTCGGGGAACAGTCTTTTTCCTGTATCTGTTTTAGTCATGGTGCTGTTGAAGTCACAAGCAATGAGGTTTATTGTAGTAGTGGTATTTTTGTTAGGAATGGGATTAAAAATGTCTTAGTGTTGGCATCGTTACTGTTTCCTACTTTGGATCAAGTTCTCAAGTTTATGATACCGTGACTGATAACTCATTGTTGTGATAAAGCATGTGAACCCTCCCTGATTGCTGTCAGGCACGGAAGGTGCTGAGTGTTACTGCACAGCTATGTTTCACTCCCCTTTGTTTTCTGAGGAACAAAGCATAAGCTTCTCTGGGGAAACATATATAATATTAATTAGATTGTCAAATGGGTGTTGCTTTGATCTGTGGCTATGGTCTGGATAAGGCAGGTAGCCAAACTGTCTGCTCCTCTGCCATCGCACTGCTGTTCCTAGCAGGGCTTATTCTGACCTATTGAAGCAGGAATAAAAATCTCTTCTTAAAGTGCTGTGTTGCTTTGAGATTCTTCTGAACTTAGCTGAAACAAATTTAACACTCTAACTCCTAACACAAGAATTTAAATTATTTTTACACTTGCAGAGTTTAGCCGGGGAGACAGCAGCTTGTTCAGAAGTTCGTAGACCCATTAATGGACCTTCTCTTTTATCTGACTTCAAGTGAAAGCAGTTTTGCTTTAGTTCAATATGTTTGAAATGATGTGACAACATATGCAATGCTAAGCTTTGAAAAGTCACAGAGCTGGATGTCATCAACCTAGAAATGACAAATCACATCATGCTGATTAACAGCGTTACCTGGAGGAAGGATAGTGGCGTGAACATTGCACTAGATCTGATCAAGAACCTTAAGGGATCCTATAAATAATGCCTGCATAGGGCTGAAGACAAGTCTTTTTTTGATGCAGATATCTGCTTCTTAAAATGAGACTTAGGTCTAGTCAAAGCAGTGCCAGCCTAGCCTGTGTTACACTGCAAAGGACACATTAGGATATTATACCCTACAATCAACACTATTAACTGCAGCACCCTGATAACCAGTGATAAAACACTACCAGACTGACTACATTAATAAATCATTAAAAAGCTCTGATGGGTTGCATGTATGCTACAACGTGACTGATATCTCAGATGATTTCCTGGTAGAGATGACTTGTCCCTAAAGAAAAGTTTGAGCAAACCACATTGCCGCTCCTATATCCTTAGCAGCCACTACACAGAGCGAAAACATTTAAAGACCTGCTCTGATAATATGGATGGTATAATTACATATTTGAATATGTTCATGAGATTATCTTAGGCTGGTTTTGCATCTTCCTAATGTTTAATTCCAGGGAACACATTTCCTGAGAACTATGTAGTCACAACAGCAAATTCTAAGGAATTATTTGGAATACTGACAGGCTTAATGTAATGCATGTCACCTTGAGATCTGGACTGAGAATCTTCCTACGAAGCAGCATGAAAAAATTTATTTATACATAGTAATATATTATTTTTTTAAAAAAAGGAGGAAAAATAAGGAATATTAAAAAAAAAAAAAAGGCAAGTGAACAGAATATTTCTCACTCACTGCTGGTTCATTTCTGACAGATGAAATTACCTGTGTTATGCTCTCCAATACTTGCATGACTGGCCAGGTAATATATACAGGAAATACCAAAAGTTAGGAGAATTAGTGTCAAGCAGTTACAAGAGGAGTCATCTACAGCAACTAAACAAGGAAGAATTATAATGAAGTTGTTTAGCATTTTCAGACAGAGGTAGCTGTGTGTATATTTAATGAACTTGATGCAATGGTATTATTTACAGCTAAGCAAGTGCTACCAAATGTTACATTTATTGATATCCTTTCTGCATCCAAGTAAGGGTGAAAATCTAATATTTTTATGAACTCTCTCTGGAGCTGACCAATACAACAGAGCAGACAAGGAATAATTATTGTAGACATACTCCAAACAGTGCATTGAGCACGTTATTACTATGAGGTGCCTAAAAATAGCATCCCAGGACTTGCCTGGAGAGCTCTTGTCTGTACTGAAGAAGAATGGATATGCCACTTAGAGCCTATTATTAAATGAGAAAGGCAATGTTGACACAAACTAAATTGCTTTAAAGCAAGGTCAGTCATTTTTCATAACAAGAAAGCCTTGTGTTTCTACCAGTCAACAGTTCCCACCGGTGACCTGATTAGGCTGACACAGATACAGGGATGGAAGAAATTATTCTACTATATTTAAATACAGATATGCTTCTGGTTTTCAGTTTAGCTGAGCTGAACAAATATTAGCTTGGAATGATCTGAAACTGAAACATTTCAATAAATCAAATATTTTTTTGTGGGTTGAATGAAGAACTATATCCAGCCATGAGTAAATTGAAATTTCAACTGCCCTTAATAAAAGCAAAAGGCTTGACTCATAAAATGCAAAAAGCTGAAGTCAAGTTCTAATTTGGAAGGCAGTTCAGCTTGCAACTATTTTTCTCTTTTCCTAGAGAGATATCTTTCAGCTCTATATTTCAAAAATAAACCATGTATTTCAGTGGGAAGAGCGGAATCTACATTGCTTATTCAGTTCTCTCCAGTTGCAAAATGCTGTTGTTGGAGATGAAAGCTAACTCTCTGTACTTATGAGAAAAAGTTTCATTTCGGAACAGAATGTCTCCTCACATAAAAAAAATCACCTGCTCCCTCTTTATTTCAACTTCTAGAATTTGCCAGGACTGGAGTCCAGCTGTAACTTGAAGTGGAGAAATAAATTATAAAGATGAGTGGAGGTGGTAATAAGCACCCGTCCTCTGACCTTGGTGTTCACGGGGCTGTTTCTTGCTCCTTTCTCCTCACCCTCACTGCCGGGCACCTTTTTCCCCTTTCTTAAATATATTTTTGTGTGGTGTCACTGAGGGGCTCAGCTGGGCCCTGGGGTGGGGCTGGTGTGGAACCGGCCTCTCTTCAGAGACCCCCACAGCCCCTGGGCACCGGGACATGGTGGCCTTAGCTGGAGAAATGCAGTTTTGGAGAAATGATGTGAAGGAAAAAGAGGTATGTCACCTGAGCCATGAGAAAGTATCTCCAGCAGATATGTGAAAGAACATAAACAGAATAGGGAGGAGAAAGCTAGGTGGAGCTTTCCTCTACATTATTAGTTTTAATCGGGGAGCCTGTACTAAATCAGAACTAAACAATGTGACCCAAAAAAGCTGCTACTAAAGAGAGTGTAGAGGAGAACTACTGCAGGAGAATATTCAGTCTGTAACAGGAATGAGGAGGTGGGAGAACAGAGAGGAAGGCAGACAGAGGTAAATTATAAATACATTGTACATTAGACTTCAACACTGTCTCTCCTAACGTCCCCTTCAGGCAAACTGATGAAGTGGACGGGGAGGTGCACAGTCTACAGACTATGTTTTAAAGTAACAAGAATTATGTTCACCTATTAAAAAAACTTAAGTGAATACCTGCTGAGTTTTGTGTTGATTGGTTGAACCCCTCTCACAGCCTACTCAAGTGTCTCTTCTCTGGGGCATCATAAGTTTTTGGTGAACCTTGGCCTTGTACTTTTTCCCTTTGTTCCACTTTGTTTTAGCAGGCTATCATTTATGAAGGAAATCTGGCAAATATAACGTGATCCAATGCAGACTGACTTGTGCTGTTTCATCAGATCGGATAAATGATGCCCATTTCAACTTCTGTGTGTGCCAAAGCTGAAGCCCTGCAACACTGTTTTATCTGTTAGTGTTAAATACTTACATTTCCAGTCTTTTTCAGCACAACTGTCTGGCTATTTGGGGATAATGGACAAAGCATTTACAGTAATCGCCTTTTCTCGCTATTCATGGGTGCACAAGAAATCCACCAGCACAGCACATCTTTTCAGAAGGATTTGGACCCTGACAGCCTGATGCCAGTGCCTTGGAGCCACATCACTGAAAGGTTTTCCTGAAGTATCCAGAAATATTTACCAGGGAGCCCATGGTCTGAACATTTCCAGTCTGGTGAAGTAGAAGAAATCAGAAAACGAGTCATGGTAAGAAAAATTACTTCCTGCACCTGTATTGTTGTTGCCTTATTTTTTTTACATGAATTATATTATTTTGTTTTCTATTGCTGTGTGCATTGTATATCAACTCTTCTATGTTTTTTGGCAAGTCTCTTAATCTGTGGCAAACAATAACCCTCCCATTCTCCCCATATCTTTAACAATTATCATTTGAAAGTCCTTTGCAATGAGGAGGTGAGAGAGAATTTAGTTTTATCCACATGTTTTTTTAATAGCTTGAAGAATTAGCCTGGAAAATAAATAGTTGCTGTAATTGGTCTAGAACTAATGAAAGAGGAGCTCTGATGAAACATACTGATATTTACCATAGTCTGCCTACAGAAGCAATTTTCTTCATTCATTCTTTTTTTTTTTTTTCCCCTTTAAATTCAAATTAACTGGGGATAGTAAATATTAAATGCTCACCACTTAGAAGGAATGGGATTTGTCACAGAGCAGTGGCACTGTGGCATTTGTAGAGACTTTTCCATCACTAAGGGATAATCAGTTTAATGACAGTGTGAACAGATTGCTAACTGCTGTGGTGGGCTTTCTGGGCTGGAGGGAGGAGGTTAAAGTCTGGCAATGTCAGTAGGTACCTGGCAAGAAAGCACGTTTGGTTTCTATACCAAATGTCATGACATTTTTGTTTTGTCTTCATTTTTCTTGTGGGCTCTTGTTCTGAGCAGCAATTTTATTGCAAAATGCTGTTGTATCACACGGAAGCTGTTTATTGCATGCTGTATTGCACTCTGGGTAGACTGAAAGGCTCTCTGCCCACTCAAGGCTTAAACACAGGGTGGTGTTATTGCATTCATACAGTTAAAGATGCACGCTAGAGGCTTGCATCAACTGCTTGCTTTGTTCTGTGTCTCCTACTGTATATAGTGTATCTGTGTGGCAAAGTAGGCATGCCTCATTTTCAAGAAATCTATGTGAAACCAGTGCGTTCAAAATTGTTAAACAAAATTAACAATTCTGTAGCATCGTTGATGCTATGAAACTAACAGCTGGTCTCATTTTAGACCACGAGCTTCAAAAAGCCTCAGATAAATAACTCCTCAGTTGATCTGTGAAATGGGAAAGACCACCACGATCTGCCACTTTTTGAGGTGAAGACAGAGACTTAAAATCAAACTGAGTCCTCACACAGCTTGCCAGATGACCTAGATATGTTCTCAGTGGCCTTTCAGCACTATAGAAATTCAGGTACTTGTGAAGTGGAGGAGAGTTTCATGGTACCAGGGATTACTTATACTAAGTTTTCATTGGTTTAAAATGTGTGATGGATAAGATTCATACTAAAAACCACTTCTCTAATAAAAGCATGTGGCTACTCACTTCTACTCTTAAAACAAAACATCTGCAGAAATTGCAGCTGGAAAGTGTGTTTGAGTACTTGGTGCTAAACATAGTGAATGTTGTGGTGTTAAATCATCAAAAACTGGTATTTGAAGTGGTGATTTCCATTGTATTTTCCTCGGACTTGAATAGCCAGACCTTTAAAACTAAATCTACCTTAGCCAATCAAAGGTTATTAAAGGGCTGTTGCATCCTGCCACGCACTGGTGAGTGTCTTTGCACTTACTGGTAAAGTACCACTGAGCACTTTTCCGGTTTCCTAAGTGAATCTCTTGCAACAGTTATGGGGAAGACAAGGAATGAATGAGAAGAAAGTGCAGGTGAATTTCAAGTCACAAAAGAGCAGAAAATACAGCTGCAGTTCTGATCATGTAGGAATTTGTTTTCAGCAGAGGTACTCAAGAAATGGTGTGGTTTCTTCCAAACCTTCAACTCCTCCTCCTTACTGCTGGCCGTCGAACAAATGTCTGCTCTTTGCATGCGTACCTGTGCCCTAAAATTGAGGAACAGTGTGGGAGCACTGATGGACGGATCCACAGACAGGTCCTGAGCTGCAGGTTCACAGCTTGTCTTTTCAGGCACCTGTAAGAGAGATTTTAATATTTCTCTTATTGAATGTGGATAGATGTGGTACTGCTGGGATTAGGTGAAGCTCACAGATCTGATGTTGCCTTCCTCTCTCCCTACAACAGCAGAGCCATTAGACAGTCCTGTGGCAGAGGTTTTAAAGAGGCCTAAGCACTTCACTAGGGAAACAATGAGACATCATCAGGAGAACTAGAAGGGTGATGGGGGATTTAACTGAATGCACTTTCTTTTCTTTTAAATTTATGGTATGTAAGACACTTATTAGAATATGCAATTAACCTTGAGTTTCTAAAATTGTGATGTATTTCTTTCCTTGGAATACAGTTCCAAATGAATTGCTAACATAACTTCAGAAATGTCCTTGAGGTATTTAATATATATTAATTTAACAGGTGATTTTATGTACAGGTGGAAAGCCATATAAATACCCAGATTTAGTTATAAATATTAGATTTAATCTTGGTAAGGACACTTAAAATAAAAGTGAAATATAGATAGGCATCAATTCCCAGGTCACCTAATTAAGTGGCATCCTTGCTTTGTAATTTTTATTGTGCTAAACAAGGAATGTGTATACTAATTAAGATGACTAATAGTTATGTTCAGTCTAATTATAGCACTGCCAGGAGGCACTATAATAGTTAAGGGTCTGTCAATGTTTTTACTACAAAAATCTTGGTCTTAGTGGTATACAACTTAGCTATAATAGCATATTTGCTGCCTTAAAATGTGGTAGAAGATTTTACACTGCAGGTACTATCTTGATTTGAATGATATTTGTTTACTTGAAAGGTATCTTTTTCATAGTATTTGAGGTAGAAGGTGCAAAGTAAAAATACTGTTTATTGGTTTTGATGCACACACAAGCAAACTTCAGAGGTTTACATTGCAACTTGTTCATTTGCATAAACATCAATATTTGGTTGTTTATTTGAGTGGAATGTCCTATATTAGCAAAACTGAATGGGAAATCTGGCAGGAGTAAGATCTGGATAGAGCTTTAGGTTCGGTATTTTTGTCTGAGATGGTTCAGACTGGCAACACTGGAAGATTTGCTCTTCATTTTATATGCACAGAAGGCACTACCTTTGTCTTGACTCAGGCAGAAATGGGAGCAAGGACTGCAAAACGTAGCTGTGGCTCAGAGAGGCTCTGCTGCTCCATGGGGTGTAGGTGTTAGGTATGGGATGGGATGTGTTGAAACTGAATTCATCAACAGGTAAGTAGTTATTGCGTCATGCCCTGTCCTGAATGGAGAAGCTTGTTGTTAGGATTAACTTTTCACCACAAACTTTTTCTGTTGTGGTCTTTTGAGAACACTAAAAATTGACAAAGATGAAATAGATTTGGTCATGAATGGTTAGGTATGGATTCAGAACAATGTATTTAAAAGATAACGGCCTTTTCTTTATAAAAACTGTGATACGTCTCATGTGAAATATGTTTAAAACTGTTATTACACAAATGTTGAAAAAAAAATATTTAATTTATAGATGCTGTATATCTGGAGAACAGCAGAAATATACCATGTCTTCTCAGAAATGAATATCATAGAGATGAGTTTCTTTTCGTTGGATTGTGTGAATTTTGATATGGTGAAAATGCAGGACAGGTTGGATAAATCTCATTTTAAAATAATCTAAAACTATGTTGATGCACCTGTGGCAGAGCTGTGTTTTCTCTCCAACAAGAATGATGTTTTTGACCTGAATTTTCAGGGTAGTCATTGTAAAACTGTATTGGGTGACAGAAATTATGATTGTCAGGTATGCCCTGGTGTGCTTCAGTACTGCTTATGCTGGAAAACTATCTGCAAGATAACATCACTCCAAATGAACAGTGTCTCTGTAAATACCATGCGACTCATTAAGAGCTATGTCTTAGCAATTAGCAGTTTCCAAGTGGCAATGGTGAGTGAGGATATTTCACTGGATGAAACATCCATAGGATATTTCATGAGCTGCCAGAGTAAGAGTGAGACAGCAGGGCTGAGGCAGTAGCATTTTCCTCTAGGCTGAGATTCACAGCTCAGCATAGTCAGAAGATTAGTAGAAGGATTTGCTTTTTGTCACTGAAATGCTCACCTGGAGCATCTCCACACCAGCATTGTACCTGTTGTGAAGGGGACTAAGTTTATTTTGTGCTTCTGGCTGCCAGGCGTGTTCCTTCAACCTGCAGCTCTCGGGGCACTCTCTTAAGTGCCAGTCCACCTTCTACCCCTTCTCCGAGAGCTCCTCTGAGAGGTCCAGGCTCAGGTCTGCCTGCTGCTTCTCCGCAGACACTTAACACAACTCATCCCATCCAGTGAGAATCTCTGGCTGCTGTTCAACTCAAGGTAGTTTTTTAAATCATCCTCTATTTTATATCTTCCTCCTCCTCCAAATGGAAACTCCACAAACTGAGCAAAAGCAGCTCATTGCCCTCAACTCCTTCCTTGTCCCAGGTGTGGTGGTACCTAGTTATTAACTTAAGTATGTGATAGCAAACATTCCTGATGCCCAGTGCTTACAATGAGGCCTCTGCATCATCATAGAAAGAGACACTTTCATTTTACCCTCTCAGAGATGAGAGTATTTGCACCAAGTTGACAATTTGTATTTAATAGTATCTTTCGTATGCTGCTTGCTTGCTAGAAAATTTGTCACCCTTGTAAGTGTTAGGTGTTTCATTCGAGAGACCAGAGAGAGAGAGAGAGAGAGAGAGAGAGAGAGAGAGAGAGAGAATGAGAGAGAGAGAGAATGAAGAACAAAATAATGCAAGATAAGCAAAAGCCTCTTAAAGTGAGCTTGGAAAGTTACTACTGGCCTTTGTTACCTTGTATTTCTGGTGCTGCACAAAGGAAAAAACGTATACATAGTCTTTGGAAACGGTGTGCTGCCTGAAGCATGGAATCTGTAGCATGTTATGAGTATTTTTTGTGTTAACAGCGACAGAATAGATATTTTTTTTCAGTGCTATCTAAAAAAGCAAATGGAATAAAGACGTTGAGCTGTTCATTTATATCTATCTGTAGTTTACGATCTGTACTATATCTATAG